TAGGCCACCCCGGCGACATATTGTATAATTGATACCGTATCAAATATTATACAAGCACAAATTAAAATTTTTTACATTATATTTGTAAAATCATTAAATCAATTTATTTCTTCTAAGCTATAAGTCAATTCCCATATTCCATCTAATTTTTTTATATTTTTTGTATATTTTTATATGTATCATTTCATTCATTGTACATTTCAATTTTCCTGTTCTAATATTCGTTTAAATTTTTTGTCTGCCCTCCCCCCCTTTTCCCAAATGGATGAACCTAGAATCTGGCCTGATATATATATACTCTCAGTCTCACATTATATCTTATTGCCAAAGTAATATAAGGTTACTTGATAGCGATTATTATTTGTAAGCTTTAGAATATTTAATGTATTTGTGATTGAATGATTATATTAAGTATATAAGATATGAAAATTAGAAGAAAAAAAATCTATAAAAATTAATATAATTTTATTGAAATGGATATAGCAGGGCATTGCGTAAGAGAACATTTATTGCACGGTGGAGCGAATGTGTGCCTTCTGAATATTTCAATGTAATTGATTACTATTAAGCTGTGGATCTTGGGGATAATTATTTGTGAGTCGAAGGCTAATTTAGATCTGAAGTTTGTATGGGGGGGGGGGGGGTGTAGATATGTTCTCAGGTTCTAACTAAATGCCGGCGGCTAAATTTATATCTTTTATTACCCCCCTATACTTGTAATATTCCGATAAAATGAGGTAAAAAAAAATAGGTAAATGAACTGAACTCCATAGTGTTTATAAAATATTTATATAAATATGATTCTAGTTTAACCCGCCCGCGCTCCAAATGTTTAAAAATTATTTTAATGGCTGGTATGCCTCTTTATTTATTTATTTTAATATATTTTTAATTAAACATTATATAATACGCAATATTATGAAATAAAACTAAGTTTAATATCTCTTCTCTTCTCTTCTCTTCTCTCTCTTCTTCTTCTCTTCTCTTCTCTTCTCTTCTCTTCTCTTCTCTTCTCTTCTCTTCTCTTCTCTTCTCTTCTCTTCTCTTCTCTTCTCTTCTCTTCTCTTCTCTTCTAGTATGTTCTGCTAATTTATCCTAAAAAAAAATTAAAAAATTTATCCGCGCGTTACTTTACAATTCAATTTAACCCGCCCCGTCACCCGCTAAATGTTTAAAATATTTTAAAAAACTCGACCACGCCTGCCAGAAATATGGGGGGGGGGGACTAAACATCCGCCCAATGCAGATCTCTATTTTATATAAAAAGTATTTTAAAATAATAAACGCCAACTTGCGGATTTAATATTATTAAAATTTATAATTGTAATTATCTTATCTCCCACGTTGGTTCATAGACCCGCGCAAAATGAGCGACCGTGAATTTTATGAAGGCCCACCCTTCATAAAATTATGGCCATTTTTTTCCCCAAGGATAACCAACAAACCTTGTACCCAGTTGTAATTTAACAAAAAGTGAATGGAACTTACCCATTACGATTTATAATGAGATAGAAAATATAAATTTAGTAATCTTATCTGTTTTTTAGTCCATTGAATAGTCATATCAATGATACAGAAATTTTTTCTTTTAAAACATAATTAAAATTTATTATTTTTAAATCAGCATATGTCAATAAATACACGCTGTCGAAAATAGAAGCCTTCCTGTGGGTCACCAGTGATAACGCGGATTTATTTTACTAAGGGATTTGAAGAAGGTTAGGGCATGATTGCCCAAAAAAACCTGTTGTGTCGGATACATTTGGTAAGAGAATGCAATTGGTTAGAGAAATGTATTTGTTAATTTTAGAGTTTTCCGCTCGCACGAATGAGTTGTTACTAAACTTGGGCGGTCGATGCAAGTGTAATCTTATGCTAAAGGAGTTCCATTACTCCAGGGTATTAAGGTCAGCCCATCTGACCGGGTACTATTTTCAGTTGAGAGGCCACAGGGTTCGAGGGTTTAGGGGATTTGAGCTCAGCGTAGAGCACGGAGAGTGGTCCCGTTAACTGCTCTGTCCCGAGAGTGTCTACCTTTAGAGAATCGACAGTGAAGAGGGTGATGTCCGAAACAATCAACGGGGTGGGAACATAAAGTGCATGCAGAGTTGGAATGAGTTTAGAATATTTGAATCCATAGAATAACCACATCGATAATAATATAGAATGAATTAAGAAAATATAGTAGTTTCCATTTTCATCTTTAATTTTTAATTCATTGAGTATAAGAAATAAACATAAGATTAAATAAAAAAAAATTAAAAACTAATTCAAAATATAGTATAACCAATACTAGATCAATAACACTTGTTATGTCATATTCTTCCCAAAATTATTGAACCGCGCAACATTTAAACAAAAACATAATTATTTTTAATTATAAATATATTAAAGGGTTTAAACTATTTGTGTATTGTTGAATAGTTTAAATTCTTATTTTATCTTTATTTTATATTCATACTAGCTTATTTTTACTTTCATTTTTAAAGTTTATTATGGGCTATTCAAAATTAAATGTATCTTAAGTTTTGATAAAACTATTTATCAGTTTCCTCCTCACCCGGGGGTCACACGAGACACCATGCAAAATTATTAAGAGATATTCATAAGATTCAAATTATAAAAGATTAGATTTGTCTTGTATATTTATATATATATACTAGCGATATTTTTTTTTATAAAAATGGATATAATTCTTGGACATTGTGTGGACATAAATAAAGATACCATATAGATAAAGTGATACCGATTTCTAGATCAGCACGTAATTAAACAAAAACCTACTTATTTAAAATATTATATAACTTAATATGTAAATTTCTTTTATTTTAGTTTAGTCGAACCGTAAATCATAAAACTTTTTTTAATGTTTAGCAAAGAAAATAAATAGATTCAATAAAATCCTATACTGTCAATATTATATTTTATTTCGTATGTTTATCACACTGGTTTTAAATATAAATTATAAAATTTTAAGATACTAAGAAATAAGAATATCTCACAAAAAATATAGATATCAAAATTTCTAAAATCTTGTCTACCATAGAATTTATCAGTTTATCACTTCGATAATTAGCAGTTACTTTAGCAAAATATATGTTTTTTTTTATCTAGAGGGATGGCTAATAAAGTTTATAACGATTGTTACGCAATATCGCCAATTAATTCATGGGATTACATCCGATATTTATGCATTGTTTCTACGATTTGGAACATATCTATAATATATCCTTAATTCAAAGTCTGGCATCTAAATTTATCATAAATAAACGAAAAAAATGATAAATCCAAAACGTTTACGATATATTTTTTTTACTAATTTCTTCCGACGGCAACATCCAGTTATCGGAACTTTGGTATTATAAATGTTGAGATCTCATGGAGCATATTTTTTTTAATGTTTACTTAAATGATTTAAAATAACAAATAAAGGTTAAAAAAAAATTTTAACCTGTCCCTTATTAAAATTATATGATGTATATCTTTTCACTAAGTTTTTACAATACATGTCTAAAACAATGTTTTAAATACTATATTTGTAGCTATCACAACACTAATCCAAACTGACTAAAAAATGGTAAATTTAGAGAGAAAGAAATACTAGGTAATCATAATGATAATCCTTTTATTATCATTTTCCTTTTTATAAGATATTTATTTTAATTTATTATATGATATTTAGATAAAATGTTTATTTTTACATCTGTCTTTATATAAATAATTCTATTACACATGTATAAAGAAAAAGAACTGGAAAAAAATTAATGAAACAACGATATGAACGGGTACAGAGCCTAGAGGCAGATTCTAAATATTGTTCAGAAATTCTTCTTGTAATTTTATTCATATTCGAATTTAACGTGACATGCGTGACAGCAACGATTTTACAGTATTCTTCAATTCTTCATTTTCGCATTTGATATTCTATTATATGTTTAAAAAAATATAATTTTTAAAAGGAGGTCAACCCCAATAAGTTTATATAGTTTTAGAATAAACTTGAGCCACCATTTTGAAAAATCATTATTGGAGGTGGGAGTAATCAACTATCAAGCACTTATTAAAATGTAATCAGCATAAACATCAAAGATTGTTTTCAATAACGACTTTAGTTCATTTTGCATGGTTATCACAATTTACACTTCTAAAATAAGAATTATTAATAACCTTAATATCTTTTAAATCGATTAGCAATACGTCATCGTCGACATTTATTCTGACAAACCCATCCATCAGGAAACTGTTCGTACTGGCGGAGAGGTTCTCTACAGAGCTCGCGTTATAGTTACGAGGGAATATGACGTTGTTTTCGCCGAAATTAGTTATCAACAAATGTTTCAAGACCTTGAGGAAAGTGGCCGATTTTTGGTTGCGACTAACTTTGTCCTGATCGGTCACCGAGTAACTCGTTTTAAAATCAGAAATGGAATCGTCGTTTAAAGGGAATGACGGCTCTAATTTTGGCTGTTCCATGAACCAATTTTCGCCTTTAGGTAAGTCGGAAAATAATTTAATTTTTTTAAAAAAAAATATCATCTGAAAAATAAACCCTATGTGACTTATATAAAATTTTCAAACGCGGATCAAATTAAGTATCGAAACAAACACATGTTAAGAAAGTAGGGATGTACAGATACTTTTTTAAAAAAATCGAATTTAAGCGATAATTCGTCTTTTTCTAGATATAGACAGACTACTTCAAAAGAACGAGTTTTAATAATTAAAAATATCCAAAAAAAATAATAATAAAATGGCCTAATTTATTTATTTTATAAAGATTGCTTACGATTTAAAAATTAAATTTTAAATAAATGATCATAAGTTGATAGTACACACATAATAAAGATTTGCTAAATAGATACATGAATTGCATTAATTTTAGGTTTTTTTTAAAATTATATATATTTAAAATAACATGTGAACTATTTGTAAAATAAAATTTATATAAAAACTATATTAAATAAAATGTTAATTAAACATTTAATTAGGTATGATCAACGGGGCTTACAGACCCATGTGTGGATATGCAGTTAGAAACGGAAGATTTCAGTTGATATTCTCTGTCGAAGGTAGAAGCCTTCTTTTGGATCACCTGTGATTAATCGTAACCTTTGCCCTATTGTTTTGAATAATTTTAGAGCTTGGGGTCCAAATGATCCACAGGTATCTGAGACTACAGGAACAAACAAAACATTATTAAGGTTGCTATATTTGTTTGTTTTTGTGTTTTTGGCTTTCGTGAAAGAGTTGGAAGGAAAAGATCTGGCAAAACGATCCACGCAAGTATAATCCCAGGCGAGAGGTAGACCTTGGTTCCAAGGGACTAGCGTCATACCATCTGGTCTGGTTTGATTGTCGGGGCTGAGGCCGGATGGTTCCAGGGTGGAGGGAATATTTGAGGATTTCAAGGTTCTGTTGATGATTGAATTGATAGCATGATATCTGGGTAATCTGTCTTTTGACAAACGACAGTGAAGGGGGTGGTGTCCAAGACTATCGATTTGGGTTTCACATAGGACGCATGATGTAGGTTACGATTTCACATCCTAAGCAAAGGCCTATGGCTATTCTGAGTTCTTTGTTGGTTAATAACAAGCCTAGATTAGAACTAGGTACAGTTTTTAACCATTCATATCTTAGATGGCATATGGATGAAGTTGGAATTATTGGATCTGGCAGAGGGGTCATATTATTGTCATCATGTATAATTGGGTTAAAGTTTAGGTGGAGAAAGAGCGATGGAGATTTTCTTTGAACAGCTTAATCAACGCAATGCTGTATCAATGGAAAGTTCCTGTCTCTTTGTTTTAGTGAATCTGGATATGAGCGATTTTTGCTCCAGAGGTCTAGTGTTGCCGTACGATGTGGGTCGATATACATGTATCCCAGTGTGTGTGGAAATTTAGCCACTAAGGATAAAAAGGCTGAAATGCTTAGGGATATGGGGGATTGTATACCTATAACCCTAGCTTTGGTGGAAAAGCGGGTTGCATCCAGGAGAATGATGAAAATTTGTTAATATGGATTCGAGAGTATTTTTTAAGTGGACTTTCCAATAATACCTCAGGGGATGTGAAAATTGTAGATGAACGAAAGGCATGTAAAATTTTTAGAATGAATAAAAAAAATTTCAGTAAATAGAAAGCCTGATGAGCGGGTAAATATTTTAAAATATTTTTCATTCTATTAAATTTAGCAAGGAATTCATCTCTAAAATGAAATATAGCTTTTTCCCCTTCAATGGGTATGGGTAAAGTTGGCTTTGTCCACTAAAATATAATTTTCGAGTGGGCAGTCCGATTCAGAAGGGGAATAAAATTCACACTTATGAGGGTTTAGTGATGGTCCTGTAATAGGGGTTAAGTGATTTATAATTGATGGAATTTTTATGATTTCGTTATAAGGGCCTGCTGGTGTGCCATCGTCCAGGTACCATACATTTAATTTAAGATCAGAATTGGAAGAGATCTCTTTTATAATTAATTGAATGCCTTAGCGGAATAATGCCGGACCTAAAGGGTCTCCTTGTTAGATGCCCTGTTTAGAGAGAATAATAGAATCATTAAATTTTAAAAAGGTGGGTTGGTTGTAACATGCAGCGATGCATGTTGTATAATCTGGGAAAGTTTCACAAAAAGAGGGTATAAAATGTCCCCGCCTAAGTGAGTTGAAGGCATTGTGTAGGTCGATTTTGAGAACGCATTGACCATGTGTATTATGGAGGATGACACGTGTCGAGTGGGATGCAGCCTCACATCCTCCAGGAACACCAAGCTGGTTTGGTTGTAGTAGATTGGATAGTTTAGATTTTATACGAGAGCAAATTATTTTGGAAATGATTCGCCGAAAGAGTGACCCTATTGCAATAGGCCTGATGTTCTCATTGGTTTTATTTAAGGATATTAAGCGGGCTCCAAAAATGATGGGCTGAATGGGATTAGGTATATTATTATGAAAGATATGATTAAGCAATATGGTGAATTGTGTTAGTATGTTTTGTTATAGGGGTATAGTTGGTTTAATTATATCTTGGAGATAAATGGCTCGAAAGCCATCGATGCCTCCTGAAGAATCTTTTTTGAATGTCTTTATTGCTTCCAATATTTCCATCTCGGTTAGTGGAATGGGATTATTAGATGGTGGAAGGATAATTTGTGAAAAATCTTGAGGATGTTTAGATTGCATGGCCGTGAGAGTTATGTCATTATTGGGGGCCATAGTATCACTTGAACAGGCTATGTTGATAGCTGAATTTACATTGCATAGGTTTATTTTATTTTCAATAAGTTTGGCCTTTTTTTATCTGTCAAAAGCTTATTGAAAGAATGTGGAGGTTGTTTGGGAATATCAAAGTAACTATTATCATTTTAATTTAATTTTTTTTGATGCTTTGTGTTAAGTTTGATTTTGATGTTGGGAGATGTAGATTTAAATATATAAATGATAATAATTTAATCCAATTATCTAAGCTTTTAATATTTTTATTTAGGGAGGTTAAAATAGCTATAAAAAAATGTGTAAATATAATTCTAGCACCTTTTGGAATACGAGCTATTGTGGGGTGGGGGCTTTCTTTCATAAATTTTTCTAGCCATTCTTGTGCCTCAGCAATAAAGGTTGAATTAATGTTATTATCTGGGCATGAAGATATAGTTAAAGGGATTGTTTCTGTGTTGAAGTTGAATGTATTGATTCCATATTAATACTATTAATAAGAGAAGGAAAAGAAGGAGGCATTACAGGTTCATTGTTGTTAAAAAAAGTACCTGATGAAGGGCATCTGTTGGCTCGTTTACCATGACAAATAATTTTATTTCCTTTTGTTAAGGAAACATTCTTAAAGCATGTGGGACATATCACCATGGTTCATATTATTGTTATGTATGATTATGTTTAAAGATTACTTTATATTGAAAGATTCTTGATATACAAAACAAAACTTATCTCAGATTCAATCAGGGTCAGCTGGTGGTTTGATGTATACATTTCATTTGGCGACGATTAAAGACATTCAAAAAAGATTCTCCAGGAGGCATCGATGGCTTTCGAGCCATTTATCTCCAAGATATAATTAAACCAACTATACCCCTATATCAAAACATACTTACACAATTCACCATATTGCTTAATCATATCTTTAATAATAATATACCTAATCCCATTCAGCCCCTCATTTTTGGAGCCCGCTTAATATCCTTAAATAAAACCAATGGGGACATCAGGCCTATTGCAATAGGGTCACTCTTCCGGCGAATCATTTCCAAAATAATTTGCTCCCGTATAAAATCTAACCTATCCAGTCCACTACAACCAAACCAGCTTGGTTTTAATGTTCCTGGAGGATGTGAGGCTGCATCCCACTAGACACGTGTCATCCTCCATAATACACATGATCAGTGCATTCTCAAAATCGACCTACATAATGCCTTCAACTCACTTAGGAGGGAACATTTTATACCCTCTTTTTGTGAAACTTTCCCAGATTATAATTGATGTTTCTTTCTTTCTTTCTTTATAACCGAATTGATAAACCTGAAATAGTGGGGTGTCAATTAAAATATATGATAGTAGTAAATTTTAAATAAACCCTCCACAAGAGTTACATCTCATTTTTATTTTTGGACGAGTAGTGCGAGAAGGTCTATGTGAGTGAAGGGTTAAAATATATAATTCCATTTTTTTTTAATATAAACTTTTAATACTGGTCTCTTGTTTAAGAATACAAGCTATCAAGGCATCGGCACGCATGTCATTCAAAGCACTAGATTCCCACTTGATTTTAAATATATAAATAAATATTTATTTTTTTTTTAAAAAAAAACCTTAAAAAAATAATTAATAACTGCCCGCGAACCCATAACCATAAAAAATTGGTCCCAAACATGGCCGATCTCTTTTTTTTAAGTTGAAAAATCACGTGATGGATCATTTTAAGCCACGTGTCATTTAACTTTAAAAAAATTTTCGACTCCAACTCTAAGACGGTAACAGATGATATAATTGACACTATATAGGGTTTTCACAAAACTCCTCAAGATAAACAAATCTTCTAAAATAACTTAGTAAACACTGGAAGCAAGATCGATCAAATTTTGTTTAAATTATTTTGTAATTTCTAAGTAAAAAAAAAGAGAGATTTGTTCTAACCCTGATTTTAGAATGACCCAATTTTAAAAAAAAACCTTGATTCCCAGGCTAAGGCCGCATTCATAGTGGATCCGATCCAACACGATTTAACAGCTGATCGATTTTTAAAATCTGTTTATGAGATCAATTATTTTGTAATAATATTAATTTTGTCTTTAATTCTATTCATGATAATAACCTAAGAAATATTGGGGTTTTAATAAAGAAAAATTGATTCTCACAAACCGATTTTAAAAATCGATCAGCTGTTAAATCGTGTCGGATCGGATCCACTATGAATGCGGCCTAAGCCGAAAAATGGAATGTGTTAATCGGACCGAACCCAAAATGGTTACCCTTCTGCGGGTCTAAAACAAAAGATGTAAAACAAACTTCCAAAATTATCAAATCGTCCTCCCTTTCCAAGGTGAGCGACAAATTGCCGTCAAAAAGCTTTATCGCGAATTTTTCGTTTCCGGGTTCCTTCTCTATTCGCGCGATAAATTTGGGACACAGCGTCGATTTCAATTGCGTAACGGAGCCGGTAAACGGTACCGTCATTCTCTGAGTCACCGTATTAACGGTTAGGCCAGTGTAATCTGCGCGTTTTTTTCGAAAATAAATTTAGTCATATAAAAGAACAGTTGAAAACTGGTTTACTTTATGCTCTTCAAATTCCTATAAACTACTCTGAGAAAATTTTTTTTAATCGAAAAATTGTGAAACTATAATAAGTTCCAACGGTACCCAAATTAAACAGGTTATTCTGTATAATCATATGTTTGTATTTTGTAGTACTATCTTTAAAAAAAGAAATGATCAACCCCCACCCCCCCCCCTCTCCCCATCACTCAAAAGAAATATTTGCTATATTCCAAAAGTTAAGATGACCCAGAACGGTTTTGACCAGATTTTATTTATTTAAAAAAAATTAATTAAAACTAAGATATCTGGCCAAAGTTAGGTTATTTATGCGTGCCACTTTAAAACGTGCCAATTATGTTTAAAAAAAAATAAAATTTACTGCCTGTCGCTCAATGTCAAAAGATTCGTGAAAAATTATTCGAATTTGGAGACTGCATTCACAGTTAACGTGAATTCGAGGCGAGGTATATAAAATATGTTTTGTATACTTCAAGTGTAACATACAGAGAAAAAGAAAATATAAATGTATATTTGTGACCGATAAGAAAATCTTATATAAGTGCTTAAGATGATGAAAGGGCTACCATGTTCATGCCATATATAAAATACCATAATGCCACAAGTGCGATATTTTATGCGATCTGCAGCAAGCCAAAGCCATTTCTATAGAGCAAGATATAATAATGAGATGGAACTCTGTATATGTAATGATACCAAAGTTTCTCAAAATCTTATGATGAAATAAAGGTTTATGTTTTATCTGCTTAACAAACAAGAATTAAATAGATTTAGCGACCATTGATATAAACTTCCCAAAGTATTCTCCACAAAATACAGGATCTTTTGTGGTTTATGATATTGTTTTCTTTATCAATTTTAAGTAAGCATATAACGTACCTTTAAGATTTTTAAGGTAAGATGTAATGGCAGAAACAACTTATTTTTATTGTTATTTTTTTTTTAAAACATTATTTTTACTACAATCCTTGTGGAAAATAAAATATCATTTGTCAACATTTTATTGAAAGTTTATTGCCGTTGGTGCTGTATATATGAGATTATGTTTCCAAGCTTATAGCTAGCAGGATTTCTGCACAAGTTTCTAGCATACTTCTCCCTCTTCAATTAGGTGCCGGAACGAGCTCAGGATGTGAAGCGACTTCACATATAACTCGTATTTAGATTCAGAATGCTACAATTACTCAACATCTTATTAAAATCGACATTAGAAATGCTTACAATAGCATTCACAGAAAAGTAATCATGTCAAAATTCATAAAACATTTCTCAGTTTTAACAAACTATATCCTTTCATCCTATAAGAAACCATCCCATTTGGTATCTGGCCATTATATATTAACCTCTTCTGAAGGTATTCAGCAGGGTGATCCCCTAGCCTCCATATTATTTTGTCTTGTAATCCATGATTTGATAACTACCTTACATTTATGGTACATTGATGATGAAGTAATCTCCGGAAGATATAATGGCCAGATACCAAATGGGATGGTTTCTTATAGGATGAAAGGATATAGTTTGCTAAAACTGAGAAATGTTTTATGAATTTTGACATGATTGCTTTTCTGTGAATGCTATTGTAAGCATTTCTAAAGTAGATTTTAATAAGGTGTTGAGTGATTGTAGCATTCTGAATCTAAATACGAGTCATATATGCAGCCGCTTCACATCCTGAGCTCGTTCCGACACCTAATAGAAGAGGAAGAAGTGTGTTAGAAACTTGTGCAGAAATCCTGTTAGCTATAAGCTTGGAACATAATCTCCTATATACGGTACCAACGACAATATTTTATTGAAAGTTTTTATAATATTTATAAATCACCTTAAATATAATTTATTAATATTTTGTTGCGAAATTCTTGATTATCGCAATCATTTTATAATTTGCTTAAACCCTTTTTATAAAATTTTGGCGGTTATTCTACCATTTTTTTACATTCCTAAGAATCTCTTACCATCATTCTCAACGATAATGATTGGTGTCAATGTTAAAAGACAGTTACATCGAGGAGTCGTTGCTTATTAAAAAGAGCTGGAATCACAACCCTAGTAATCGGGTCAGATACAAAGAATCTAACCCCCTCAAAATCCTGAGTTTCCTTCCGAAAATAATTTATTCAAAAAAGTAATGTTCCACAAAAAAAGAAAGTAATTTATACATTACTATTTATATCTTTCGAGTCCATGATGTGGTAGTTGAAATTGCGTTTCACCAAAATGCCCGTCACTCTTTGATTTGGTTTAGGTTTATGCATAGCTAAAGTTCCTACAATCTTAATTAACAAAAAAATAAATAAGTTTTTATATTAAAAAATATAACTTTTTTACCTTGGCCATTTTTTCTCCCCTGAAATACAATTCCACGGCCTGCGTATTCCTGGGATTGAATATCTCTATATTATTGTCGGGATCGTCTTCGTATTCTCGAATCAGTGCCGCTTTAAGTCTGTACATTTCGTTCTGTTCTCCGTGAACCAATATCTTTATATAAAATATACTTACTTAACATATAGAAAATCAAAAACTTGAAAAATGAGAAACGGACTATTTTTAATAAATTTCAACATTGTTCGAATATGACATAATTGAGAGCTAATAATCTTCAAAAATTAACTCATGCCAACAATTATAAACTTCGATCGTTATAAATATATATATTAAATAAACTAACGAAAGGATAATCCTAATATAGGAGCTTAATTTTATGAAAGAAAGTGATGGACAGACGTTTTTTTGGAGTTGACAGCCTTTCATAAATCTAGCCCCAGAAAATGAAACTCTTATACAAAAAAAATTATGCTTTTAATATGGCAAATATTAGGGAGAGTAAAAGAATTACGTACGACATAAGCCGGCTTCAGGAGTCTCACGAATTCGCTAGTCTGTTTGTAATCGGTGTGAGCGGAAAAGGAAATGTAATCTACCGAACATCTTAACGGGAGCCTCTGTCCATTCATCGCGGTTATTTCGTCCGGTTCTGAAAGTATGGACTAAAAAAATGGAGTAGTAATAAATGCTACTTTTAAAATACAATGTTTATATATATATAATAGATAACCATACAACTGCAATTAATCATAACTAAAGGTTAGATCAAACTTTTGAAGACCAGTTTATGTCAAGTTTTTCTTCACAATGATTAGGATCTCGGTCGGGATTGAACCACCACGACCTTCATTAGACAATCGTAATATTACCATAACTTTTCAACATTTAAAAAAATAATAACGGCCAAAACGATACTACGATACTTATTTATATCTTTAATGTCTACGTCAAAAATAACTACAAAATTAAAAATAATAGTTCTGCTTCTACCGCGGAACATCAATGTACTTTATGTATATATATCTATCATATATCGCCTGATTTTATATATCACGTGTAAAACGCGTGATTCATTGGTCACAAAAAAACTATAAAAGGGAAGAAATTTTGATCTATAATACTTTATTATTTTGTTGGTCAATAAAATTAGTAGTTGCTAAAGGCAGATTTATTTATTTTAGTTGTGCGGGGATGATATAGCTTTGAGAGGTGATAGGGACTCTTTTTTTTACAGTTTTAAAACAATTGTATCATTTTTTTTAGTATATTTGCCAAATAACTCCTAAATCTAGTGTTGTTAAACGGCTCGTTTTGAGGCGATTCTTAAAAACGGCTCCAGAAAAATATTACGCAAGTCTAAAGATTTTGTTCATAGAAGGTACGAAGGTCTAGACACATATCGTCGAAATCTCGAAGGCTTAGGCGATATTTTTCTGGCTAAAATATTGAATTAGAAAATTGGCTCAAAACGAGTCTTTCAACAACACTCTCAGGAATTCGTATACCTTAGCTAGGGTGCCTTCGACACAGTAACCAGCTATGATAGTGCCGTTCTTGTGATCCGAGCACCAAGATTCGAAAAGCTCGCGAGATATCCCGTTTTGCAGCATGCCTGGACTGGCTAGCACAACGCAAGGACCTAGATCTTCAAAATTTTCCAGACTCTTTTATTGTTTTTCATTTTAAATTTATAAAAAAAAATATATATATATATACTTTTTATGATAGTTTGACTTTATCGGACTATGGGGTTCCACCTAATTAGAGCTTGGAACCAGAACCCATTATTTATTTATATATCGTTGGCTTAATATATTTTTTTATTAAATAATATATATTTTGGGGAGCATTTAACAAAAAAAATATTTATGGTACTCTAGATAAGGAGATCGACAAAACTCAATACAAATAAAGGATAACTCCAAATTATTTTTTTTTAAAATATCTTTATCGGCGCTATGGAAGAATACAGTATTACGGGTAGTGTTGTTAAATGGCTTGATTGAGTCGATTATAAAAAGGCTTACTTTAGCCAGAAAAATATTGCCAAAGTCTTGGATTTCAGTAATTGATGCCCAAACCTTTGTGCCGTCTATGAGAAAAATCCTTAGGCTTTGAGTAATATTTATTCTGGATAAAATACTGAGTTAGCCGTTTTTTTAAAAATCGGCACAAATAGGGCCGTTTAACAATTACTAATTGAAAGGTTTTGATTTATCGGGGGAAAAAATGCAACTATAATATTTAGTGGACGATATATTGTTTGAAAATGTTATCAGGAATAAGATTCTGGAATCCTTGAAATAGGGCCAATTATCAAAACCGGAAATGGAACCCACTTTTCAAAATCTTATAGGGAGCTTTATCTCTTCTATATATACTCCCCCCCCTTCCCCTATTAATAATGTGTTATCTATATGTGTACCAACAAATAAAAAAAATATAATAGTTACAATTAATACTAAACAGATGTCAGGGTTTCTTCTCTAATTACAAGTGTTAAATAAAACCTTAGAGACTCCTAAACGGCTTAGCCAAGTCTTAATCATAAAAAATAAACCCTTCCCAAACCTTTAGGTTGAACTTTAGACATAGAAGAAATTTAGACAATTTGGCGTCTAAAAAGTAAGGTGATTTAACAACACCAATAATAAATAAATAAATATATATATATATGAACTTTGAGATATTTGATATGCTTAAACGCGAAGGGATTGTCTCTGGGAGAATGAGCTATTTGTTTCCTTATTTTTTCGTTCATGGAATTAATGTAGGTCTGAAAAATGTTCATGCACTTCTTGGCTAAGGAGGACGCGTAATATATGGGGATATCGTTTAATTCGGGATGGTTGCGCCAATACTCATCTTCGAAAGAAGAAAAAAAAATACAATGTTAAACCGTAAAAAATTATCGTACACAATTTTACCGTTAACCGCTCCATTAAAGAAGGGGTTTGATACGAAAACTATCGCCTCCGCCTCGGGGTATTTTAAGCTACCCCGATTATAGCGGAACAAAAAATCAACTCCTCAAGGCTTAGCGAATTTTTTTTTTCCAGGCAAAGGTCTGCGCATTGGGCCAAGTTATGGCAGCACCTACTTATCTTATTTTGGGATCAAAACTAATTTATTTTTTTAAAAAAAGAGGAGAGGGGAGAATGGAGAAACCTAAAATGAGCATTAATTCTTGAGCACGTCCGAGGGCAAAAACGGGTATTAGGCACCTCCCGCCTCGGTTGTAAGTTATGTCATGGACCAACGAGGTAAATCGTTTTTCTCTTTCCTCCATATCTTCGTGAATGTGGGTCCCATACGTGGATTCCTAATCGTGATATAGACAATAAATTTTTTTTATCAATAATTATTGCCGAATATTTGAGTTGAATGCATAACGTTATAATAGAATAGAATAGGAAAAAAATAAATTCTTTGTTCATACGAAATTTTAGCCTTAGAAAAATACAAAGTGAGCGCTTTGGACGCTGCACTTGCAAGCGCAAATAATGCACTTCGAATGGTTATCGTGGATATTGGTAAAATTACCGTTTGGAGTTAGCAACCATTTAAAAAAACAGCAAATATTTTTTTATTCTTCACTTCGTAATATTATATAAAAATTGTGATTATAAATAACTTACTTATAATCCTAAAAAGGAATACTTAGAAATTAAAGAAATAAGAAGGCAGACGATAACATAATTTTCAAAGACAAATCCTTTTATTTTTCTAGAAACTTATTTAAAATTTTGAATCGACGGATATTAAATATGAAAAAAAGACAACCTCGATTTAAACATGGGACGCGTTACGTTTTTTTTTATTTAAAAATTACGGCAAAACGTAAACGGTCAATTTGTGCGCACTATAATGTACATGGTTGATTTTTATAGATATTGGTTCATTATCTCTTTCAATTTTTATAGATATTGCGAGACAAAACATTAGGTACAGTTCTTAAGGGCCATAAAACCTTTTAAAAATATTTTTAAATTTAATTTAATAATTCAAAAATAAATTTTAGCGATTTTCATTTTAAACAAAACGGCTAGATTGAGCAGATTTTTTTAAAAATAGTTAACTCAATATTCTAGCTAGAAATTTCGCTAATAGATATCCAAACCTTTGTGCCATATATGATCCAAAATCTTCCGGCTTGTTTCATATTTTTTTCTTAACAAAATATTAAGTTCACCGTTTTTTTTTAAAAACAAAAGGCCTTATAAATAGAGCGGATGTAACATCACTACATTTCCGGCTTTTAACTTGCGACATTTTGAACTTAATATTTAATATATACTATGAATACACAAATTTTTTAAAAAAAAATCTGAAAGGGTCATGCCAAGCCAAAAAAATCGTCCTCATTTTTGTTGATTTTATTAGTGGAATTCACCATACGTATTATCATCTGATCTAAATGAAACCGTGATTAATATGTCCGGCCTAACGGAAGGGATTTCGGCTGCCATCAAATGCCTATCTTCGACTCGGGAAAAATCTCCAGTGTAAAGTAACTGTATTTTTTTAAAATACATTAATAGGATAAAAGTAAATTCATAATAGTAAAATTAATTACTTTATAACCGAGATTAGAAAAGTAAATAATTTTTTTTTTTTAAAAAAAAGCAGAAGATTTATTTTTAAAAAAATATGAAATAAAAATAGCACAATGTCCAGAACCAAAAAAAAATGGCTAATCAGAAACATTTTAGGGTAATATGCTCAGCCAGATTCGTTTTTCGTTCTTTACGATTTGCCCAGTTGCAGCCAGATGGAGCAATCTACAGGTATAACATTACTTCCCCCCCCCCTAAAAACTAATCATATAAAATAATAGTCTGAACTGGGGCTGATTGGTCAATAAAAAATGAAAAATTCAAAATAAGATTTTACATTCAGTCTTATACGAAAACTACTCATGTCAGTCATAAATATGCTTACAATATAATAAGAGAATTAAAATGTATAATACCTTGACTCCTGCTATTTCTATGAAAAACATGGCAGCTCCTAACACGTGACCAGCCATATAAGCCTTGAAACGAATTCCATTAACCTCTTTTTCCTAAATCATTAACACACCACACACACAAAAAAAAGATATAAACAAAACACGAAATGACTCCTGGAGTTCTTTTAATTAAGTCAATGGTATTGTAATATTATAGTAACACTATTTACAGGGTTGAGCCAATTTTCCTACAATTGTATTTGGGAAAAGTGCTGTAAAAGGGCTCGTTTTTTGAAAAAAAATGGGTAACTTAATATTTTAGTAAGAAAAATTTTGCCTAGGTCTCAAGATTTTGCTAATAGATGTCTAGACCTTTGTGTCATTTATGCGTAATATTTTCCTGGATAATAATGAGTTGGCCGCTTTTAAAAATCAGTTCAAATTGGGCCATTTAACAATACTATGGGATTACAGATATAAATATATTTGTAAAAAAAATATCTAAATTATTTATAAATCTTTGAAAATCGTTAATTTTAAAAATTATTTGCAAATATCGGAAATTTATTTTTATTTTTTTTAAATTAAAGCCACTCCACTGCCAATCAAATATTTTATTTTATTTTTTTGGCATTTGCGATATTAATATATTTTTGATTGCAACAGTGATATCTTGTTTAGAATTACCTAAACCTAAATTAAAAACAAATTTAAATTGTAAGAATATGCAATTCAGTAAGAAGAGCAAATATTAGTATTCTTTTACATCTAATGAGCATATATTTTTATAGGCATTGATTACTAAACTATACAATTCAAAATTAACCAATAGAACATGGAGGCTTATTTACTACTATGGACAACTTTATAATATTTTTGGATTAATTCACATATATATACATATTAACTCTTTTCTGTCTTAAATTAAGTTTCTGATTCTATAATTGTACTTTATCCTCTTTTGTCTTATATTTAAAACATTATAATTTAAAAATACAATTTCATAATTGTGTTCCCAAACATAATTATATCTAAAAATATCTATCTAATTTTTTTGACATATATAAAAATTCTTTAGCTATTTTTTTTACTCACGTATATTCTTACTATCTTAAAATATTTGGTTATTTTGTGAATAACTCTGACAAATTCTCTTTTATATTCAAATTTAAATAATTTAACAACATTAAATTTAAAATCCCATCAATTAATTTTTTATAAGTAATTTCATGATCATGATCATAAAAATAGTTGATTTAAGATACAAATACTGTGTAAAAAAAATTATTATCTTTGACACAAAAATACTTTTCAAAAGGTTATACAGGGTTGCAGGTGTTTTATTTGGGAATAACATTAAATACAAAGACCATTAAGTGGTATAATAAATAAGTTTGAAGTGTTTAAAAAATAGAAATACCTCATTTATGTAATAGAAGAAAAATATATTAAATTAAATAAATTTCTCATAAAACTTTTTAATTACAAAAAAATAATTTTTTAAATTTTAAGATGTTTAATATTAATAATATTTTTTATCCAATACAAATGATAGTTTTAGAAATTCCTCTTTATTTAATAATCAAAATATTCCCACGTATTCTTCATCAATATTTGATAATTCCGTTCTTATTTCTTTTCCATTCCAGCAAGTACCAATTCTTTAATAATAAACCCTATAAACTCACCGCCATTTCAAAACCCAAAAAGAAAATATAATTGTTGGAATAAAAAGAAAATTATTATAGTAACAAAATTGTTACCCCAGCAAAATGGAAGGAATGAAAATAAAGAATATTGCTAAACATATTGATATGTCAATAGCCTCGGTTAACAAATTATGGCAAGAAACCTTTCTAGTATTTATGGGAGGAGGGGGGCATTGAAGCAATGCCAAATAAAAAAATGATACAGATACAAAAAAAGATACATCCGAAAATTGAAAGAAAGGTTATAAATCTTTCAATGGGTAACAACACGTCTGTCTACTATCAAAGATGTTATAATATGCCTCCAGGTTTCCCCAAAAATGAGGGGACAATTCGGAAAAAATTTAAAAAAATAGGATGGACTAAAAAATGGGCTGGGAAAGAGTTCGATCGACAAAATACACCAGGGGCAGTTCATATTCGCTAGACTTACTGCCTTAAAATGATAAACATATGGAAAAAATGTTCTTTCTGGATGAAACAGGCATAAACCTACATGTTATTGTTTGCTTAAGCCCCATACAATGTCACACCAACTGTGATAGTTCCACCTTCCAATGGCAAGAGGTCAGCGTTTTATGCATCGAATTATTGAAGGACCCTTTGCGTTTTCTTCATTATCTGAAAGAATTAGTAACAATTCTTCCAAATGATGTAATTATCATCAGAGACCTGCAGAGGTACCATTTGCACTACCCGGCCCGGTTTTAAATTTTTTAGGCCCGGCCCGGATATTTTTAAAAAAAATTTTATACGGCCCGGCCCGGATTTGAAAATTTAATACCCGGCCCGGATATTTTTTTAAAAAAAAAATTTCAGGCCCGGCTCGGAATTTTTTAAAATTATATTCGACCTGGTATATACAAAAATTCACCTATGAGGTATTTTACCATATTTTTCAGCGAATATTATCGCTTATTATTTAAAAAATACATGTAAAAAGCTAATATTTTGAGAATATTATATTGAATTTATAAAAATTATAAAACTGTTATTTATAAAAATTGATATTTTGAGCATATACTATATTTTATATTGCATTTATAAAAATAAAACTAATATTCATAAAAATGGTAATAATATTTGTCATACACTATATTTTATATTACATTTAAAAATAAAACTAATATTTAATTTATAAAAATGGAAAATATTTTGAGAATATAATGTATTGTATTTAATTTACTATTTAATTTATAAAATAAAAATAAATTGCTATTTAAAAAAATGCATGTATAATAAATAGTATTTTGAAAATATAATCTAATTGCACAATATTAATATAATTTATTTTATAATATAAATTTTTAACAAAAGAAGATAATTGTATTATATAATATTGTAAAAAAAAATAATGAAAAATGTTAAATTAAAAACTTTCATGACTCAAGGTAAATATAATAAATGCAATAAATATTTGACAGTTTGCAAAGTAAAAAACCAGCATGATTGACGAAACCCTATACTCAAGAAAGATATTAAAAATTCACAAATTATCATGAATAAAGAGAAGCATATCTACCTTTTCAGGTTGAAGATTACTTCTTCTTTCTTCAAGAATTCTCCCAGTAATGGAAAAATTCCGCTCACAGCTTGCACTTAAAGCAGGAATTGCCAATTTTGCTAAAATTGGAAATTCGCTTTGATGAGCCGCCCACCACTCTAACAAATTATCCACCTTAAATGTTTTATCTATTATCTATGTAATTATAATATTCATCATTGGGTATTGACATATTACCAGAATTACCATCGCCCCATTTGTCATAAAACGATTCAGTTTGTTTAACAACAGTCGTAATTTGACTGGTCGATGGTATTTCATTTACTTCCTGAGCCTCTTGTAATTTAATATAATCTTTTATATAGTTTTCCGTCATTTTGCGATCTGTCCCTGACTACATACATAATTGCTTGAATTTGGGACAGAGAAAAAGAGAAATAAAATGATACTTGTGTAAAACAAATTTTTCAATTAAAAAATGCTTTATATTAAGTAAAATCAATTTTATTTCTCCTTTTCGCTTTGAAAGGTATTACAAACTTTAAGAAGTGATATTCCTTTATTTGATTGTTTTGGTAAAATATATTCTAAAAATTTAGATATGAATTATAAAAAAATATATTAATAATACTTGAATATTGGGGCTTATTTAAGATATTCCTTTATTTGATTGTTTTGGTAAAATATGTTGTAAAAATTTAGATATGAATTATAAAAAAATATATATTAATACTTTAAATAAATTTGCAGGAAATTAATAATTAGATCGATCTGTGGGTTGTTAGGTAGTGTTAACCATCACCCAATATTATATTAATCATAACTATAATATAATATAATCTTATAACCATTAACTCACAAGTAAAAATTTTTATAAAAAATATTAAGGCCTGGCCTGGGTTTAACAATCTTAGGCCCGGCCCGGATATATTTAAAAATTTTTAGGCCCAGCCCAGCCCGGATATGTTTAAAAAAAAATTTTTTAAGGCCAGCCCGGGTATATTTAAAAAATTTAAAATACAGCCAGGTCCTGCTTGGGCCAGGTTTAGGGCTGGGCCTGCAGGTCTTTGATTATCATTAAGAACAGCATAGACCATCCTATTATTTAAATATTTTTGCATGGTCCCCTCATTTTTGGGGGAAATCTGGAGGCAAATTTTATAAAATATCTTTGATAGTAGACGTATTGTTATCCATTAAAAGATTTCTCACCTTTCTTTTGATTTCGGATTTATTTTTTTTTCACATCCCTTTTTTAGTATTTGGTATTGCTTCAATGGTCACTCTATAAATTCTGGAAAGGTTTCTTGCCTTAATATTTTACCGAGGCTATTGGCATATCAAAATGTTTAGCAATATCCTTTATTTTCATATCAAGCTGGGATAACAATTTTGTTACTATTTCAATTTTCTATTTAATCCAACAATTATATTTTCTTAATTCATAAGGTTTATTATTGTAGAATTGGCACTTATTTTCAAAAATGCTGGAATGGAAAAGGAAAATTAAATAAACAGAATTATCAAATATTGATGATGAATACATGTGAATATTTTGATTATTAAATAAAGAGGAATTTCTAAAACTATCATTGGTATTATTGGATAAAATATAATTAATATTAAACATTTTAAATTTAAAAAATTATTTTTTGTAATTAAAAAGTTTTGAGAGATTTTTTATTTAATTAAATAAATTTTTCTTCTATTACATAAATGAGGTATTTCTATATTTTAAACACTTCAAACTTATTTATTATACCACTTAATGGTCTTTGCTTTAATGTATTACCAAATATAATACCAGCAACCCTGTATATACATTTATGGCATGGCCCCTTTGAAATTATGATTATAAACTCATAAAATATTTTTTATAAATTGTTCCAAATGATTTTTAGAAATATATTAAAAATTTCAAAAAAAAATTAATTAATTAACAAAACTTACTTCATGAAAATTGATGGTTTCAATTTTGTGGGTACTTTTTTCAAGATCTTCTTCAGTAAATAACATTTGCTCCTGAGTAGATGCACTAAATGTTTTAATTAAATAAAATTAGTGCCATAGTTAATTGATAGAATTAATAGTTTTTAAATATATGATAAATTATATAAATATATATACATTGGGTATATGATATTTACAAACCTAACCCTAACATAATCAGAAAGTAACCAACGATATATAGCTTTTGATGCATGGGTCATAAAACATCTACCCCGAAATGTTGTTTTTTCAAGAAACCAAGGCAGAGCTCCACAATGGTCTAAATGAAAGCTAGATCAAAATAATTATATTAGAATAAGATAATTAAAATTTATTAAAAATAGTAGTAATTATATTACTGGCTGACTAATAATAAATCAATTTCATCCGCATCTATGAAATCAACATAAGGCAGAGCATCCATTCCCATCAAACCTGGGTGTATTCCGCAATCTAACTGTACATAAAATACATAGAAAATAATAGGATTAATTTTTTTTATAAAAACCATAATTTTTTTCCCTTTAAATTCTATTATTATACATGATCTACCAACTTCTTGGCCAGCACCTCTGTAACAGTAATTATAATATATACTAATATATTTTATATCAAACAATGGTTTTATAATGAATTGTTCCTTTTCTTCTTGAGATACATTGCTCTCAAATTTTAGTCTTGCAGTCATGCCTGAATTTAAAATTTAAATTTCACTGTAAAAGTTTGAGAATTGGTAGGTAAAATGAGAATTGACAGGTAAAGTAGATTTGACAGGTAACGTAAAAATTAAAATGGAAATTTTGATTGGATAGGTATAATTTAGATTTAATTTAGAGCTTAAAGTTTTCTATATAAATGATTGTTTATTTTATTTTATTTTAATAATTTAATTTTTTATAATATATTTTAAAATTTTACATTTTATCTATCAAACTAAAAAATCAGGTTTATATAACAATTTTCATATTAATATATAAAAATTTATATAAAAAAAAATCAATCTACACAATTTATAAAAAAATCAATTTATATCAACATAAAAAAACAAATTAAAGGTTAGTATTAATCGGTCATATCAACTGAGCTTATCAATAATATATTCATTTTATATGATTTTTTGGCCTAGTATATGAATTCGTTAATGGAATATAATTTAAGGATTTATTAATGTTCCCATTTATTTTTTTGTAGATAAATATACCTTTTTAGTATTGACGTAGCTATGGGGTTGGGGGTGGGGTCAGAGAATGAGATTGGTCTCTTGGTTGAAATCTCTCTAGCCCCATAAGAAAAGAAAACATATAACTTTTTAATTATAAGATTTATTTTAAATATAGTGAATTACTTTCCTTTTTTCTATATCATAATGCATGATAAACAGAGACATAAAACACCTCCTCAATACTGACAGCGCTAATAGGCCTCAAAAAGGGGATGCAAAACGCTACTAATTTTTTTTAAATGTCATTAATGTTTTTTACTTTCTCTAACATCTAGCTCTCCAGTCAATGTTTAAAAAATCGGATGGCTTCAGAAGGCCTAAGAGACCTCATATAAAATCTTAATTACTTAAAAAATACTAGTATAACATAATTTAAAATCATCAGAAATCCATAACACCTAATTAAATTGTTTATATAGTAAGAAATTAGTTTTAAATTATATTCATCAAATGTTAATTATTTTAATATTAAATTTAGCAAAATTAATGAAGCCTTCTTTTATGAAATTATTTTAGATACGACCTAAGATATTAAAAAGACTGACCAATTAAGTTTTATAATTATATATCTATCGATTACACATTAATTATAATGTACGGTAGGATATTATAACGATTGTTGTTAGAATTCCATATGTTAAAATAGGATTAGGAATCTATAACATTCGATATTTTAGAGCCCTTATAAAAAATTTATTATTAATATATATGTAAATCGCTAAAATTTGGAAATTTTGCCTGTATTCCTTAGAAAATTTTTAATTAAATGTATGCTAGGGAAATAAACAATTGTATTTAAATCGAGTTTTTGTTTAAAAAAAATTGCTAAAAATGGAGGAAAATCATTGCCCCAAAATTATTCACCAATTTGGGAATCAAATTGGGAATATCAATAATATTTCCTCCATGTTAGGCGATTTTTTAAAAAAAACTTAATTTAAATACCAGTGTTTATTTCCCTAGCATACTAATATTAATTTCAAATTTATTTCAAAAATTTTCTAGGAGTTATAAACGAGATTCCCAATTTTTAGCAATTTTTGGTTTAGCGAATTAAGAACTGTTAAATACAAGTATCAATGTTTATTAATGGATTTTGTATTGTAGAAGACTTTAGGCTTAAAACGACATATTATATTATATTTAATATTAAATTGATGTTTTGAAAAGTTATACAATTTATTTTAATATTAAATTGATGTTAATTTTGTATATATACCTAAATGATCATGATTACCTTTACTTTTTTGTTTTTATTTGATCTTAGTTGAAAATAAATAACTTAATTATTAATATTCCTAATGTTCACGGATTCTACAATTGATGATATATTCTTAACCTTCAATCTTCCGTAGTTATTCGATACAATCGCCCCATTTATTTTATATTATTTATTCTCTTTCATTAAGAACCTATCCCGAAAAATAAATTTTCTCCGCCAATAATTCAAAACTATTTTCCAAAAATCAACTAATAAGATGAAACAATCTTGGCTCACTTATTCCTAAAAATGATGCTTCAATTAAAATCATGGAAAATTAAATAAATAAAATAAACCCATTCGGAAAGAGAGGGGAGGGGGGAGCCGTTATCTTTATATATGTTAGTAGAAATGGGTTAATTTTTCGAATTTAAATCATATTTTGAGCGCGTTTTTTTTTAAATTTAGAAAATCGGATTTTACCGGAAGTGCATTCTATCGTGTTTGGGAATACCTATATCCTAAAAAATTCAGTTAATTTATTTCCTGTCACTTTTGAACTTAATATAATTTATATCAGTTTTTTTCATTGATTTTTCGTATAAATTATAAATGGCTCAAAATTTAACGGTAAAGTTATCCACAATTCATAAGATGGGTATTTTAAACACGATGAAATATATTTCCGGTGAAATCGAGATTTTCTAAAATTTAACAAAAAAAGTGCTTGCGTACAAATTGAACGTTTCAACGCAGCGTTTTAAAACGCATATCAATAAATTAAAATATAAAACGCAAACGTAGTCAATTTATACGAATGCCCTTAAAATGCATTATTTGCGTTTTGTAACGCAGCTTTGACATATTCAATTTGTGCGCACTATAAGTTTGAAAAAATAACACATTGCCGCTAACATATGATTGTTTATAATATAACATTTGTTGTAATATATGCCATGTTTCTTTTTTAGAATCGTGTTTTCTATAATTGTATTTGTCAAATATTAATCAACCATCACAATTCATGATTAACGTTACAAAGGAAAAAATAAAATTATTATGGTTGTGGCCACTTTCCATTCTCATTCTAGGATTTACCCTTAGTTGCTGTAAGGGTTTTTGCTTAATAATATATTCGAATTCTCTATTTTAACACACACCCACACATTCAAATAAAAACAAATTTATGAAAACATAAACATATCCAAAGTGATTTCGAAATCGGTCGTGTTTCCACGTTTCGCAAATTATACTAATTTCGTTTATTCGATTAAACAAAAGTTCGATACAATTTGTCCACGAAATCTATTAACCCAAAATATCTACGATATTGCTTTCCAAAGCACGAATTCGCGTTCCAAACAGATGTTGGCTAACAAAATCGCCCAAATATGAAGTGGCATATCGGGCTCCATTCTGGAATTGTTTCGTAAGCGGAAAACCGTGATGTTGTTCATGTTAAATTGTACAGCTATTCTATAGTTTAGCACGAATTGCCTATCGCGAGCGACATCGCGGTATTTAGCAATTACCATGAACGTGGCCTTCGCTCAAGCGATACATAATTTACAAGATTCATAACGTTAAATTATATTTATGTAGTTTCGCGTAAATTAGACATCGTTTGAGCTATATCGCGCTTATTGTAAACAAGGCCTGACATCTGTTCGATAGCACGCTATTTTTAAGCTTAGAAGAGACAAGCTAAATTACAAGTAGGGTAAAATCGTAGTTACTCATGATTTTTCATCTTGTGCTGAATAGGATCAATGTTCTATAGAATCCCTATGCCTGACATAATTATTTCTGATTAAGCCCTCCTGGTGTAAAATATTTTGCCCTTTTATATTTCTTGTCTTTAATTAAATATATATAATTATGCCATGTGTTATTAAAAAGTTAAATAAAATGTTTAAATTTATATCATAATTTTTGCTACTTATTGTACCCCGGGCCTGGGCCTCTGACATATTACCCAGATAATGGGATAAAATGGATACGTTTGTCAACCATTGACAACACAACAGGGAATTTAGCTCCTAAACTATAAACGACAGCTAACTTATAATTTTTTAGTCTAATAGTGCAGCTAACATGAATTTTATTATTCAATCTGGAAATTATAATAAACGTTTTTAATAACTAGAAAGAAAGGCATTTATAGTTAAGCCCCCTTATTATACATTTAGCCAGGCTAGATGGGACATCATTGGCTCTACTTTTGAAAATTTAGAGTAGTTTTAAAAAAAAATTAAATAAATTTAGGTGCTTTTTTAAAATTCTAGTTCAAATTTAATTTAAATACGCTGAGCAACCCTTTATAGCTGAATCTATGGTGGGCGCCATGACGCAAAATTAACGGTTTAACAGCTGATCGAGTTTAAAAATACTTTAATGATTTAATGCAATTAGGGTGCTTCATAGCAACAGAATGGTGGTTGGGTGCTAATTCGAAAGTCGGATTTTTCAAATCTTGCTACTTCGACACCTGTCGAAATATCGAGGGGGTTCATCAAATACCAGCTGATCAAATAATCCGCGTTAAGGTTGATGATACGCACGACGAAATAGATTCGGACGAAGGGATTTACTTGCCAAGTACGAAAAATTAATTTCAAATTTTAAATGGCATTTATCACTTGATTAAATAAAATAAGGAGTTATTATAGGATATGAGCGCCTAATTTTTTTTCGGGCAATGTGTTATTTGTTTTTTAACTTTATAGTCAGTCTTGGCATCTTATTTGTGAAACTTATTTTAGACCAGTCTATTCAAATTTTGAACTAAAACACCCTAATCTTCTTTCCTTCTTACTTACTTACTTACTTTCTTTCTTTCTTTCTTTCTTTCTTTCTTTCTTTCTTTCTTTCTTTCTTTCTTTCTTTCTTTCTTTCTTTCTTTCTTTCTTTCTTTCTTTCATTCTTTCTTTCTTTCTTTCTTTCCTTCTTACTTTCTTTCTTTCTTTCTTTCTTTCTTTCTTTCTTTCTTTCTTTCTTTCTTTCTTTCTTTCTTTCTTTCTTTCTTTCTTTCTTTCTTTCTTTCTTTCTTTCTTTCTTTCTTTCTTTCTTTCTTTCTTTCTTTCTTTCTTTCTTTCTTTCTTTCTTTCTTTCTTTCTTTCTTTCTTTCTTTCTTTCTTTCTTTCTTTCTTTCTTTCTTTCTTTCTTTCTTTCTTTCTTTCTTTCTTTCTTTCTTTCTTTCTTTCTTTCTTTCTTTCTTTCTTTCTTTCTTTCTTTCTTTCTTTCTTTCTTTCTTTCTTTCTTTCTTTCTTTCTTTCTTTCTTTCTTTCTTTCTTTCTTTCTTTCTTTCTTTCTTTCTTTCTTTCTTTCTTTCTTTCT